TGCATCTTATAACTCATTAAAAGTATATCAGCGGAAAAAAACGTGCGTCCATACACGAACAGCAGATTTCGAATTTGGTGCCATCAGACTCCATTGTGAATTGTTTGGCCTACGGAGAATGTATGTGTGTGATCCTGAGCGATCAATGGCATAATGGCAAGTCGACCTGAACCTGAGCCGACCCGCTTGTCGGCTTCTATTTTGCCTAAGTGTTTGACTATGACAGCGTGCGTCCTGTGTACCTCCAAGTGGTACATTATTAGAGTGTTCTTTTTTATGAATAAGGGAAAATCCCCAACATGGCAACCCTGTTAAAGCAGCACTGGTCGCATCGCACGTTACTGCTGTCCCGGCCTGACTTTGAATTAACAAAACTAACGCACGCGTATCCAGCCGTATTCAAAGAGATGCCACCCTGGCAGCGGTGTGCGATGTGTTTTACTGCTGCATCTCTTTTCGGTACCCGAGCTTAGCATGTGCAAAAGTGGTAGTATTTGTAAGAAATTAAAATAATATAGTGTTACTGTGTACATAAGAGAATCATCTGCAACGAGAGAGAGAGAGAGAGAGAGAGAGGGAGAGATAGTTTATCAACACATCAAGTGTGGTGTGCCTCAAGGAACAGTACTAGGCCCACTATTATTTAGTCTCTACTTAAATGACTTATTCAAAATTAACAGTTCTGGAAAGATTATGTTTTGCAGATGACACCCTCGTATTATATACAGCTGATGACTGGAGCACACTGAAGCAAATAGCTGAAAAGGATTTTATAAGGATCATTGACTGGTTTGATACTAAAATTTTAACAGTTATCTTCAAAAAAACAAAATTTATTGCATTTACGTCCTATTCAAAATTTTTACCTACCTTCGAACAAATTTCCGTTAATTATCATGGCCAAAAGACCAAAATCAATAGAGTTAACACATTGAAATATCTTGGAATATTTATAAACTCACATCTAAGGTGGGATAACCATATTAAATATGTTATCAAAAAAATTAGAAATGTTGCCTATAAACTCAAAATGCTTGCTAACATTCTTACAGAAAGTTATCTGCGAATCCTATACCATACCTTAGTTGAAACCCATATAATATACGGCATCACGGCTGGGATGCCGCCTGCAAGACATATATTTCTGACCTGAATATAGCACAAAAAACTGTTTTGAAAGCCATTTTCCATAAGCCAAGATTATATCCAACGAACAACTTATATCAAGAAACAGGGATACTTGATACAAGACAACTTTATTTCTTACATGCCACCACCTTATACCATAAGTATTGTAATAAAAAGAAAAAATCCTATAAACACGAGCATAACACACGATTTCGAATAGGCTCATCTAATATCCAAAGACCATACAAAACATTATTCAAAAAATCATTTAAATTCTTAGCAGCTGAATTATATAATGTAGTACCAAACGAAATAAAGATACTTAATTTTGGAAAAAAAAATTAGAAGAAAATTGAAAGACTGGGTTAGTAATGTGCAGCGAATGACTATACATAATTATATAGAAAACTAAAACTACAAAATTCCAATTACATTAATACCTTTTAGATTTAACAATAATTGTTATACACATATATGATTGATTGTTAGTTATTAAGATATAAACCACACACAGGCGATGCCTTCTGTGGTTTTTTCATATTTATTTGCCCATTTTTTGTATTTTGGCGAATAAATATTATTATTATTATTGTCTTAATTAATTTTTATTTTTTATTAACTTACAGTAAAAAAAAATTAATATTTTGCAGAGCCACATCTGGTCGCTACCAGCGTTTGAAGTCTGCTTGTAGCATTTTCAATGCAAGACTGCACTATACCCCGCTTTTGAGGAGGATGATTCTACACAATTGTGATTTTTCCCAAGACATTGAGTCTTGTTTGTTATGAGTCCTCTATTCATCAGCTTCCATACATTTTATATCTGGTTCATAATATCGTTGCTATAACCTGGCCATTCCAGTAAGGGGACATTTTGCTCTTGTAAATAAGTGTCTTAACTGACCCTACCGTGTGACAAGAATATTCATCTTACAAAGATGAACCGTTTCTTATTCGGAAACCCTTCTAATATACAATTAGAAATATTTTATAGTGAGTCTAATAAACAGGCCAGCGATTGTAGACGGAGGATTTCTTAATGTTACATTAAAAACTTATCATGTGGTTTTCATGTTGATAATCCCATGTTTCTCTGTCTCCCTTCCAAGTCCGGCGCCTCCAATGTTGCCAGATCGAACGCTATGTTGCCAGTCTCATCACTCAATTTACAGACCTCGTTAAGCTCACATAACTACAGTTATCAGAGGGTATAAACTAAAACATTATAGTGAACAAAATGACTTAAACAACTAAATACTAAGACTCATTAAGGGATAAGTTATGAAACAAGTTGACCATTTTATCCTCGAGACATTATCAAACTAAAATTACGGACAAATATAAATATCTGGGATGACAGAGTTGAACTACTGATCACAATTTGGACACACTTGCCAGACAATAAATTAAGAATGACAGCGTCTCCTCGCGAACGTCTTATATTACTTATTTTTTTTATCGGTAAGTTCATCTTTGTTTAGTAATTTGAATTCTGTTTACTTTATAACTTAATCTTTTATATTTCCATTGTCAATTGTTTTACCTACGTGAGTATGATTTGTAGTTTGTTTTTTACGTAAGGTTTGTCATTTATTTTCTTTATATTATTTTTTCTTTATATTAAGCTTCTACTTAACTTTAATACTACTGTCTTGTGTAAGAACGTTTTGTGTGATACCACGAATAAATTACTAGTACTACTGGGGTGTCAAGTGGGAAAGTCCACTTTTTGATTTAAGACAAAAATACAAACTTAATGAAAAGAAAATGTTTATTACTATCAATATACGAGCATTCGTATATTCGGGGGGTTTTATTTCTTAAATATCATTCCGTCCAAATGTTTGCCATCCCGGACACACTCGCGCAAATTCTGAAACACTCCCTTGCAGAGTTCCGGAGTGATGTTGTTTATCTTTCATCGAATGTTGTCTTTAAGCTCCTCCAGTGTTAAATACACCTTTGACTTTAGATAACCCCACAAAAAATAATCGCATGGTGTGAGGTCGGGTGACCTAGGAGGCCAGTGAATGTCTCCACACTTCGATATAACTTTTTGAGAAAAAAGTGCTTCCACCGTGTCCATCGATTCTTTGGGGCAGTGGCGCCATCCTGTTGAAACCATGTGTTCCTGTTAAATCGACGTTCTGTTCTTACAATAGGAGCAAAAAAGTGTCATTCATGTCTTTGTATAATACCTCTAGAGCATTGATTCCCAAAGTGGTCTATATCGACCCCTAGGGGTCTATGACAACCTGCAAGGGGTCTACGTCAGCGAAAAAAAATTTGGGGGTCCATGAAATGAATATGGGGGTCCAGGATAGTGGATCTCAACACATACACTGATAGTACCTATTTACTTACATCATACTATCTTATAATATCAAAACATATATGTATATTATTTATAAAAGTACCTATGAAGTAAAAAATTTATTATATATGTTTATAAAATTGTGTAAGTTGTAGGATGTTGGTATTCGCTTTGCGGTCGCAATACATTTTGAACTTGTAAAAACCTGAGAGTCGCAGTCTCAGAGCCTCGCTACCTTGCACTGACTTGTTTAATCCGTCACTCTATAAATACGAATGTGGGACAAATACGTTTATTTGTTTCCTGAATCTTGAAAAGGAAAGTGCTAAGAAAATATTTTAAAAAATATAAACAGATAGTATATCACACAAATTATAGTGAGTCAGTGTTATTTTGTTTGAGAGTGCTGGAGAAAAGTAAGTACATTATTTTTTATTAAATTTTAGTTTTGTACTCGTAGTTAGCAAAGATAGATAAATTACGCCAATCATGACTTTAGTTATTAGTAGTTAAATATTCAATCATGCAAAATTACACGAGTACTCCTCAACAGTTTCTTTTTGAAAGTTTTAGCAATCGGTAATATAATTACAGTGCAATCTCCGTAATTCGAGCTAATTGTTGCAAGAAGATGTTCGAATTATGGAATGTTTTCGGAAGAATGAAAAAATATTTTTAATATACAGCTGCTGGATTTTCTGTCTTATTTAAATAATTTAATTTTGCCCACAGATGGCTGATGCCATGTCCGAATCTAAAAGGAAATGTAGACAGTACAGTGTTGATTATTTGAAATTTGGCTTCATTCCATCATTGCCGGACAAACAATCGCCTATGTGCCTTTTATGCAACAAAGTTTTGGGCAATCACGCTATGAAACCATCTAAACTGCAAGATCATCTGAGAAGATGCTACCCTGATAAAACAGAGAAAGATTTGAAATACTTTCAAACACTCAAAGATAAATTTCAGAAGAGACCTACACTGGACAGAATGTTCGCGTTGACGTCACAAAGAAATGATGATGGTTTGCGGGCGTCTTACAATATCTCGTTACTTATAGCAAAATCCGGAAAACCGCATACTATCGGAGAAAAGTTGATTTTGACAGCCGTTGAAGAGGTTTTAAAAACTGTTTTACACAAACCTGTATCTGGTATCATTAAAAGAATTCCCTTAAGCAACAATACTATTGAAAGACGTATTGATGAAATGAGTTCTGATATTGAAAGCTTCTTATGTAATTATTTGCAAACGACCCATTTCTCTATACAACTGGACGAGTCAACTTTACCTGATAATGCAGCATTATTATTGGCATATGTTCGTTTTATTATGAATCAAGAAATCTACTAAGAACTGCTCTTCGCAAGAACTTTGATAACCAACACTAAAGGTGAATCAATATTTCATGTTTTGAAGGATTACTTCAGATGGAGCACCTGCCATGGTTGGACGTTATCGTGGATTTATAAGCTATTTAAAACAAAACGTGTCAGGGGTGTTAGCAATACATTGCGTCATCCATAACGACAATATTTAGTTGCTAAAATTTGAGTGTTAGATTACATGAATCACTTCATTTAGTGATTTAGTCATTGATGCAGTAAATCGAATCCGAAGCAACGCGTTGAATACGCGGTTATTTGCGCAGTTGTGTGAAGAAAATGAGGAACACTTTCATCAATTACTCCTTCACACTGAAGTACGCTGGCTGTCGAAAGGCTTATGCTTGACAAGATCTTTTGCACTTTTCAAGACTATATTAGAATTTCTGGATACTAAAGATAAAATTTTAAAAGAAAATTTAATGAAGAGGAAAACAGACATCGAATATTTAACAGATTTGTTTACAAAATTTAATATGGTTAATTTGCAATTACCAGGCGACAGATTAAATTTGATTGAAAAAAAGTCCATCTTATCAGCGTTTCTTGCCAGAGTTAAACTAATGAAGCAAAATATTGGACTAGGCAAATTTTCTCAGTTCCCCAATTTGTCACAGACAAGCTGCCAGGAAGACGACGTTTCAACTTACGTTCAACATTTAAATGCCCTCTATTCAGATTTTGAATCTAGGTTTGAGGATATTTTGACTATGGTAATACCACCGTGGATAATTAATCCGTATAGTGACATAGAAGAAACGAATGTCATAATACAAGAGGAACTGACTGAACTAAGTACAAACGAAGAACTTAAGGTTCAGTTTAAAAACGGATATCAGCAATTCTGGCTGCAAGACAACATACCCGTTACTTATACCGTATTATGGAATATGGCGAGGAAATTTTTAATTTCCTTTCCATCGTCATACCTAGTGGAAAGGGGGTTCAGCGCTGTTACCAATCTCCTAACGAAAAAAAGAAACAGACTGGACATCATTAGCCGAGGAGATTTAAGATTAACCCTTACAAAATTGACGCCAAATGTTGATAATTTATTATTAAAGCATCAGGTTCATCCTTCTCGCTAAAAATATTGACTTATTGCTTATGTTATTTTATTTATAGTTTATTTTATGTTTATTGGTGTCTGACCAATAAATGCCCGCATTGGAAATAAGTGCCCGCATTGATTTTTTTAAAGAAAATATTTTTTTTTAAATTATTCTGAAAATTCAAGGATAGGTACACACTAAAATTCGTTAATTTTTGCCTATTTTTAGATAACTTAAACGTATACGAAGCGGAATTTAATCAAACAAACAGTGAAATTATTGTAGAACATGTTTTTATGTTACAATTAATAAACGAACTCGCTTATTGTACTATTTTAAGTAAAACACTTTTTTACATTATTTTTCACTTTTTTTTTATTTTATCCATCTTATTTTTTTTCAATGCGGGCACTTATTTCCAATGCGGGCACTTATTGGTCAGACACCTGTTTATTTAATGTTACGTATATTTTACATAACAGATACAAAATTTTATTTTGAGTAGTTTTAATTCAAATTCATTTAATAAATGTATAAATTAACATGTGTTTTTACTTTAAGTTTTGAACACTAAACTTCACTACAGTTAGAAATTTACAGGAAATCAATATCAGGTAAGTAGGGGGTCTACCCAACACGGAAAAACATGGCAAGGGGTCTACGACACAAAAAAGTTTGGGGAACTGTGCTCTAGAGGATATAGCGCATCAAACAGTCACCTTTGGACTATGCAGCTGTTGTTGATGTTTCCCTTTTAGGTTCGTTGGCTCCCAATATCTGCAATTTTGCTTGTTCACATAACCGTCTAAGTGAAAATGGGCCTTGTCACTGAAAACAACGTTCTTGAGTCTGCGGTGCGTAGGAAAAAGATTCAACATCCATTCAGCACAATACTTTCGTAATACGTATTCACTTTCCTTCAAAGCTTGGATTGATTGGATTTTATAAGGATGAAAACCCATTTTTTTCTTCATTAGGCCATTCAGTGTTGACCTAAGGATTCCCAAAGCAGCGAAATGCTTCCGGACAGAACGCCGAATCACTTACTCTAAGCACATTTTCTTCGGTTGATAGAGTAGGTGTGAGGTCAGGAATGGGTTGACTAAGAGTAGAGCTGTTTCACAGAACTTCTTAATCCTCTTTTTCAATAGGTTCTTCCTTGGAGCATCTCTTGGTGGGCGAATGTTGTATCATGTACAAAATTTTCGAAGGGCAGCTGCGTATGAATCACCACTCTTAAAGTAAGTCTCGATAGCTAAAGCACGTTGCGCTCCGGTCCAACGTAACATGGTGACTATTTAACCCGCACGCCGAACGCATGGATCAGGACCTCTCCCCACTTCCTCGCGTATGCGGTTGCCGCGTAATTCAAATTTGAAATGTGAACTTTCCCACTGGACACACTACTATAGTTTTGGTACCCCTTGTCTATTTTGGAACCTGCTACGTGGGTTATATACAAGAATACTTATAATAATTTAGAATGTCTGAAGCGTTCTTCAGAGTTATCGGTTGTCCCTTTTTTACACAAAGGTTTAATAAAGACGACCCACGAACTGCATCGCGGGATTCATATATCTGTTATCTATGCTATAAAAGAATGGTAAACTAAATTATGGAGGTAGTTCAGTTGCAATCACATATTTATGGCTTGAGAACCACCGTGTGGCCAAGCCCATTTCTGAAATGCGTATTAAACTGAAGAGCTCTTTGTCTTGAGTTGGATCTAGTAGCAACTTATTTTTCTTCCAGCTGACACTTCGTTTCAGTCTGAAAAGTCCTGTAATTTAATGAGATTCCAATTTTAACATGCTACCACTCACAACCAACAAAGACTAGGACCGCCTGGCATTCCTGTTCACAAGAGGACATCCAGCTCTGCTATGCATCAAGCGAACATGAGGTTATCAGTCGGTTTTTAATGTACCATACACGACTCCCTCGTCCATCGTCCCGAAAACGCGAATATTCACCCAGAAATATTGCCAGAATCCACCTTAGTTGTTACGTAATATTCGATTAAAATCCTGCATGTGCATTGTTCATGGATCTGAAATGCGAGAAATAGTACTTCGACGTCCAAAGGGAACCTTGTGAGGATTCCTTCTTCTGACGAAGCGCTACTGTATCGTGCTCTACCTAAGCTGCTTATAACTTATAAGATTTGAGAAGTTCCGCGTCAGTCACCTAAAATACGTCCAAAGGAAGGAAGAACTTTCCTAATTAATAAAACCGGAAAATTATTAAATAACGCCAGTCTTTGTTTTATTAGCAAACAGTGAAGTGGAAACGAATCGTTAGTATGAGGATTGTGTACAGGATCAAGATTGATTTTATCGGGAAACCTTAATTAGTTGCTTAGCTTGCTGGAAGTTAAGCAGCGTCCAAGTCAGGCTAAACAAACGACGGGCGAAGGGTAAAAAAAGCTACAAGATTCGATCGATATCAGTGATAGGAGCTGCTATTGCTGTGTACAGGGATTTCTGGAATTTTTACTTTCCACGCCTACTAGTGGGAGTATTGTAATCGGCAAACATTTCAAAAATGAGATGTCATGTTTTTTGGATGTTGTTATTTTTCTATTCGTCATAGTCCGGCAGAGCGGTCCGTTGGACCTTTTCTCTTATTAAAAGTATTGTAGATTTTGGTTGGACCTACATATTATTGCACGACTTAATTTTGTTCACAGTACGAGCCGCGGCTTTGTGTGCTTGCGAACGTCCTCGACTGCTGTAGTCCCTTAGGTAAGGGATGTCAAGGTCAAGGTTCTGTTCTACAGAACCTGCAGACTGCACTACTCTGTACATGCGTATGTAATTCCTGGAAATCCTGTATAGCCGAACTCTGTTGATCAAACTTTATTTCGAGGTTCTACATCACATAGGGTAGAGTTGACAAAACGTAATTTCGAATTTGGTTTTAACGATTCATTGTGCTTCTGCTGTCAAGTTTGGCACCAAAATTCCAATACCATATCCACCGGACTTTATAATCTGCCGTGAATCAGATTCCCGGAACTCGACTGGGTCGCTAATTTAGTGTCATTAATATACAGGGTTATCCAAATTAAGTGTCCACCATTAGTAACTTTGTTATTAGTGAAAATACAAAGTTGTTTGAATTAGCAAACTAGTAGCATTTTTAACGCTGGTCAAAATGAGAAATAAAAAAAAAACAATTGAGAGTCGTAATTTTGATTTTTTTCAGTAAAATAACATTTTTTTAAATGGAAACCCCTGTATATTATATTTTTTTCTGTTAAAGCATCAAATTTTAAACAAAAAAGCTTACAATAACTTTTCTCCTAGGTTACAAATTGTTGAAGTTATGGCCTCCAATCTGAAACAATTAAATTGTATCGACAAACTTTATTTTCAACATCAACTTATAATCTTACAAAATACAATAACAATTTTTTTTAAAGAAGATGCTCGGAAACACCACCTTGTTCTTCAATACATTTTTGGGCACGTTTTTCAACTGCTCGAACTGTCTTAAGTATGGTCCTACCATCTATCTGGGTTATCTTTTCCCTAACTGCAGTCTTTAACGCGTCAAGGTTATCGTATCTTCGCTTGTAAATTTGGTTCTTTAAGTAACCCCACAAGAAGTAATCAAGTGGGTTTAGATCTGGTGATCTGGGAGGCCACTGTATTGGGCCATTTGTTCCTATCCACTGATCATTAAAAGTAGTACTTAGAAAATGATAAGTACCTCTGGAGTTGTGGGCAGGTGCGCCATCTTGCTGAAAATGCAGATGATGTCTACTTATAAGATCCAATTCGTCTAAGAAATTAGTCAGAATTTCTGACATAAATTCCACATATCTTTCACCAGTAAGGGTTCCCTCATAAAAGAACGGGCCAACAATTTTTGATCCAATTATACCGCACCAAACGTTGAAACTGAAACGGACTTGTGGGCCTCTTGGATGTACTAACAAAAGATTTTCTCTTGACCAATAATGGTGGTTTTTTCTATTAAACATTCCAGAATTTGAAAAATTTGATTCATCTGTCCATAAAAGGTAACGAAAGTTATTTACATTTTGGCGACAGAAGCTAAGATACCAATGGCAAAAAACAAGTTTTCTCTCTGGATCCCCTGCCAAAAGCGTTTGAACTGGTCGGTACTTATACGGAATAAATTTGTATTTTTTTAAAATCCTTTGAACAGTACTATAACTGAAATTAGAGTCCTTGAGAATATCTGCTATTGAATTCTCACGATAAGCTTCAAAATATCCAATAACTGCAATTTCCGTGGCCTCGCTTATTATGAATTCTTTTTTTGCCCTTGTTTTAGCAAAAACATTTTCGTTGCCCCTAAATTTTCGATAAAGTCTCAGAAAATATCGTTCATACGGTTGAATGCGAGCGGGATATAATTCACAAGGAGGATTTTCTGCACACTAAATAGCATTCTAACATATCACACTTTTCTTCATGGGAGAACATTTTTCTTTAAATTAATGACACAATAAAGCTTATAAACAAGTATTTACACTAATGTTTGACATTATTTGATTTTATCATTGTTTTCCAAAGCCTTCTAGTTGCGAGTATGTCCAGTTTAACAATTTGTCGCTTATCTTAATGCTGTCAAATCGCGAACGCCATGTTGTTTTCATAGCCGTCTTAATATTATAATACTGCAAATAATTAAAAATATTTATCGTTATTTTGACTTTATTTTTGACTTTAGCGGAAAAGTCATTATGAACTTTTTTGTTTAAGATTTGATGCTTTAACAGAAAAAAATATAATATACAGGGGTTTCCATTTAAAAAAATGTTATTTTACTGAAAAAAATCAAAATAACGACTC